GCCCATGAGTGCAACGCTTAAAGAAAGATTAAGGAAAACAAGGTTTTCATTTAATTCCCCTTGTAGTGTGGTAAAACGTCTTAAAATAGAGAATGAAGAAAATGATCACACGTTTTCAGAGAAACCAGCATCTTCAACAGAGGAAAACTGTGCAGAGTTTCAAGAAAGTTTTAAACACATAGAGAGTGAATCTGAAGAACAGACATGCTTGAAAAGTACTTGCAAGAATATCAGTGCGTGTGAATCTGAGTCGCTTGGTACCGTGTCATGCGATGTTCTCCAAAATGATTCTGCGCATGACAATCTTAAACAAGAATTAAAGGAAGAAAAAGCAGATTTGGTGAAGCAGGTGCGGGAGAAGGAAGATGTCCTTCGGAGGCTAAAACTAGTCAAGATGTATAGATCAAAGGTGAGAAAAATTTAAAAATCTTCGCATGTTTTAAAATTTTTATGTAAGTTGCAGGGATGTAATTTCAAAGGTAGGAGATAAGTGTCTTCTAGCATAGTAAAGCAGTAAGGCAAATGCCAAAAACCTGGCTTCCAGCTTTAACTGAAGCATAAGTCATCGATCTAGATAGTTGATTAAAAGAGACCTGTCAGCATCACATACAGCTTTTAAATAGCTGCAACTGTTGTGGTTTGTAGTTCCTAGCAGTGTTAGAAAAGCAGTCGTGAGACGGAAATACAAGTGGAACAGAAGTGACAGGTGACCGGCCGGGGGTTTTGCTCGGAGGCATAGCCCTGCCTTGCAAACCTGAGGTCCTGAGTTCATTCCCACTACAAAGAAAAAGTGACAGCTGACAATGAATAAAACTAAAAGTGGGCCACAGACTACACAGTAAAAAGTATTTTTTAATAATCTTATGCTTGCTTTCAAATAATTAAAATATCTTAGGCATTTTGTTTGAGAAAACAATGAATACTCAGAGGTTTCGACCTCTGAGTTTTAGGTTTCGACCAAAGAGGTTAAGTTAAACAGAACTCGGGAATATGGACCGGGATAACTTCTGTTTCCTGGATAATTCATGCCGATGTAACTGTTCATTCTTAGGATTTGCTGAGTTTTTAGGATTTTTTCAAACATGATTAATGAGGTTGAATGTCATATTTCTAATGTCAACACTGTCGTCTTTTACTTCTAGGTTCACAGCAAAACAATGGCAGGTACAATGTAGTCTCAGATTTTAAAAGCACGATTGTATGGAAAGTGGATTTTTAAAACCTGTATTATTGCTTTACATATTTTTGCTCTACTTAGGGGGCCAAGGAAATGGCTCAGTAGAATAAGTGCTTGCCTGGCAAGCGCAAGGGCCTGAGTTCAATCCCCAGTTCCTAAAAAAAAAAAGAGCTCTACTTATGGAATAAGATTTTGTTTTTTTTTTTTTTTTTTTTTTTTTTTGCTCGAATGCCTTTAGGGCACTTTTGGCCAGCAGGAGAGTTGTGAGGTTCGAACTCCAGCAACCTGAGGCTGACAGCTTTGTGGAAGCAGCCACTTAAAGGACTGAGCTAGGGCCAGGCCCCCCCAAGAGCTCTACTTAATGATTTGAATTTTCTTTTGCAAATTAGTTTGTACCAGACTTGGACTAAACAGTAGCAGTAGAACTCAAATCAGTGACATTTGTAACCTGTCTACTTACACCCATTCTACTTTTCCATTCGTAGAAGCTCCTTCATTCCCAGGAATGTTAACGTTCGACCTGCACAGACTTATCTGACAGCTTTGATTCAGTAGGCCAGTCTTTTACTGGCCTGCATTTTGTGTCTGTTTCAGAATGACCTGTCGCAGTTACAGCTGCTGATACAGAAGTGGAGAAGCTGTAGCCAGCTGCTGCTTCATGAGCTGCAGTCAGCTCTGTCTGCAGAGAACAAGAAACTAAGCCTTACTGAACTCATAGACTACTACGGGCTGGACGATCAACTGCTGCACTACAGCAGAAGCGAGGAAGACTTCATAGGTGTTTAATTCATAATGTTTATTCTCTTTCTCCTCTCTTTTCACATTTTTTTTTTTTTTTTCAGACTAGGGGATCAGAGCTAGGCCGTCGTGTGCTCTCTAACACTGGGCCATACTCTGGTTCCTCTCAAGCAGATCTTTGAGAATGGCCACTTAGTGAAAAGATACTTAGACATGTTAAAGGGAAGATGCTGGCCATTACAGCAGCGGTGGCGAGCCTGTGGCATGTGTGCCACAGCTGGCTGCTTATATCATTTGCCATCAGTGCAAAAAGGTTCGCCAGCAGTGCACCAGGGTTCAGAGTAACATGTCTCAACCATCAATTTAGGGCCCTCTAAGACATGAATTAAGTCCTAAAATGAAATTCAGCATTTTGAGTAGATTTACCAACGAAAACACAACATTAAAGAGAAGTTGAAAGGTGGATTTAGTGGCATTTGCCTTTATGTAACCTGGAAGTGTGGGAGCCAACACAGAAAGGTGAACAGTTTGGGCCCTGCCTGGGCAAGTTGGCAAGACCCTGTCCCCCACCTCCAAAAAAGAATTTAGGAATATAGTAAAGACCCTGGGGTCAATCTCCATAAATGAATGGGCCAGGGACATAGTTCTGCGTCAAGGCCCCATTCTGCACATACACAAACACCAATTAATAGCATGTTTTAAAAAATTTGTGGGAGCCAGGGAGATGGCTCAGTGGAATAAGCGCTTCCCTGGCAAGCGCAAGGGCCTGAGTTCAGTCCCTGGTTCTGCAAAAAAAAAAAAAAAAAAAAATTTGTGGACAGTCCTAGGAACTAGTTTTAATATGTTGTTTTGGTTTCTTGTGGCAAAGTCTTATTTTCAGTGTTTAAAAAATAGTCCAGTCTGGTGAATGCCTGAACCTAAATTGGTCTAAAAGTTCTCACCTAAGTTTGTGGACCTTGTTTCTGCTCCTTTAGTGCCTTTTGTCATCTGCTGATCTCACATGATTAAACTTATGTTCAAAATCACATTTTTTTCTGCCTTCATATTTTTTCGTAGTCCCCATTTATTGAAACCATGTCTGTTTCTTAGGAAATGACCTCATTGTGTACATCCGGGTCCTGGCATACATGGTCCTTGCCCTTTGTGCTCTTTCCCCTTCATCTGTCGAATGACCTAGAAGTGTCTGTGCACACAGTTGGTCTCCTCAGCCAGGAATCAGGCTGCTGTCAGGTTACGTAATCATGGCTGTCCTCTTGGTTGTATTTGGCAATACGGCCCTGTCCCTGAGAATTCACAATTGAACCGGGGAAAGAAAGTCCGTTCTGTTTGTGGGTGGAGCTGGTAAACGTATATTCGGAAGCAGCGGAGTGGGCCTCCTCTGGGGAGGCCTGTGTGCTTCCTGAGGGAGGCAGAGATGGAGTGCGCTTTGTGCGTCAGCAGTGTTACAGCCTCTGCTTGTGGGTGTGCCTCAGTTCCAGCCTAGTCCCTCCTACTGATGTAGCAAAGCCTTGATTTTTGGTACAGCAGGCGACCCCAGGGCCATGGCCTATGTCCACTGGCCACACAAATTCAGTTTTCTAGACACTGCCCTTGTCATTGGCATTTGTGAATCTAGGATTCCTTCATGGACAGCCCAGGTTCTGGGCTGTTCTGGTACCTACCAGCCAGCCTCTGTCACTGCTGCTGAGCCAGGGGTCAAAACTGTGGGAGGGGTGTTGCCCTGGTGGTGGCGTTGCCATTCTGTAGGCCAGCGTGGGGTGCCTGTTTAGATTTCGGCCACTACTGATAGACACACCCTCTGGGGTCACTCCTCTGTATCTAATTGTGGAACTCTGCCTCCGGGAGAGCTGGACTTGTCATGGGGCTTCCGGGCCTTGGCACTCAGACCCACCTGAGAATTCCAACAACAGGGCAGGTACAAGGGTCAAAGGAGAAGAACGAGGCTTGATGGGGCTGTTGAAATTTGGGATGCCCACGGGTTGCCATCTTCAATGATTTCTGTTGAATTTGCCTTCCATTTAATGGTATGCATTTATTAAAAATTACCGGATACCATCTTTTTATATAAAAATGGTGTTAACCTTTTAACAGTATTTGCTTTGTACCAAGTTTAAGAGTATAATTCAAGTGTTAGTAACGCCCCAGGTTTGAAGATGAGAAAATTCAAGGTTAAGTATTTATTTTAAAACCTAAGTAGTTATTTCATACTTAAGTGTCAGAGGCAGCTTTTGAGTCCAGGCAGCCCAGCAATAGGGCTCATGTTCTTTATTCCTGTGTACAAGGCCGTGCTATGTGACTCAGTTCACGCTGCTTGATAATGGGTAAGGGCTTAATGGCCTGAAAACGTAAACATAATTGCTGTTCTGTAGAAGCTTAGAGGAATCTTCTGTGAACAGTAATGACAAGGACACAAGACCCATGTGTCCTTGCACCTGCCCCCTCCCCGAGCCAGAAGGGACCTCCTGCTGAAGAGGCTCCTCAGTGTGAGGGGCAGAGGCTTCTGCCACCCTACTTCACTCGTCCCTCACAGCTGAGGCAGCTAGCAAGGAACACTGTTAGAGTCCACCAGAGTTGAGAACAGAAGCAAAACCTCATGCTTGGCTTGGTAAGTGCCGGGAATCTAGAATGCCATCCAGTGAAAAGTGTGGCATTGGCTATTAGCAAGCGCAGCGCCCAGTAGGCACCTGAGGCGCTTGTATTCCAGTCTGGGTGGTGCAGGTCAAGTCTAGGACATCCACGGCTGACAACGCCTAGCAGTCCCAAGGTAAAGTGTCTGCCGCCCCTAATGTACACCGTGGCCTGTCTCCCTGCTCCCCACAGTTCCTGTCTCACATAATGTTACAGGTTCCCTAGATACAGGAAGTGTTACTAGTGGACCCTTCCTTGCTGAATTAGCCAAACTGACCACTTCGGGAGCCATTTCTAGTGCTAAGGAGAGGAAGTCGTCAAAAGGATGTTGGTCTTGCCATTACCATCCAGTCCTGATCGCTGCGGGTGGTCAGTGGAACCTCGAGAGCTTCTTCCTAGGTGGGAGGGTTTCTAGTAGCTCTGGATGTGGCTCTGTGGACCCAACTGAACATTCGCTTCATGAACCGCAGAGCTGTGAGGTGTTGCCAAGACCCCAGCATCAGACCCCAGCATTAGCACGGGCGGGTGCGGCGGTCCACCGGCTGCGAGGGGCGAGGAAGCTTTCTGCCAGTTTTCTCATTGTGCAGTTATCATTAGCTACATGAGCAAAGCAATAAGCTGCTTCGCGGAAGTAAAGCACCTCTTCTAGGCTGTCCTAGGCAGGTCACAGAACTGAGCTCTCCTAGTAAGAGAGATTAGGTTTTCAGTGCCGTAACTTAGAAATGATCTAAGTCTTAGGAAAAGTAACTTCTCATTGATGGAACGAAGGTTAATCTTCAAAATTCTGGTGATTTTGTTTGTTTATTTTTTTCTTGGCAGAACCAGGGATTGAACTCAGGTCTTTGTGCTTGCCAGGGAAGCGCTTATTCCACTGAGCCATCTCCCCAGCCTAAAATTCTGGTGATTTTAAACGAATAAAATAAATCTTGAGCCAGGTGATGTGGGTGGTACATGCCTGTAATCCCAGCGCACACTCTGGGAGGCTGGTCAGGAGGATCATAAGTTTGAGCCCAGCCTGGGCAACTAAGCTGTCTTGGTGAGACCCTGCCTCAAGGTAAAATGGGCCTGGGACATGGTCAGTCTCTAGTACTACAAATAAACAGAATACTGTTTTCAGAAAGGGGTTTGAACCTCAGACCTTGATCATGTTAGGCAAATGACCTGCCACTGAGTCTGGCCTTGCATATTTCTGTTTTAAAATCTTTTTTCTTGAATGAAAATAGTTCTTTCACACATTTATTCATGCAGGACAAAAATTTATGTACTGATTACAAGGCTAAAATTAAATAATTATTAAAAGCATGCAACTAAGAGAGGCTCTGTTTAAATTTCACAATAGGAAAGAAAGAACATTTTACCCAAATGAAATGATTTTTGAAATGATTGGTTTAGCCTTGGGATTCTTGCTGGTGTTTTACATCTTAACAAGAGCAGGGAATGTTCTCATCCTTAACCTTTCCACTTCAGCCTGAAGTACTGAAATCTGTTCAGCTTGTTCTTTTGAAATATTTGTCAACTTCTGCTGTTGCATCATCCTTTCATATTGTTCTTTGGCAATCTTTTCACAAGTCAGCGTAGACCCTGTTCCAAAAACACAGAGGAAGGAATTAGTTGGATTATTAGTAACACTTTTAAATATAAAAGCAGCCCCCAGCATCGACAGTGTGGAAAAATGCTCTTGGCTTATAACTAGTGTGCAGATTTCAGGAACTCCAATTGTTTATTTATTTATTTATTTTTGGCGGAATCGGGGATTGAACTCAGGCCGCTGAGCCGCCTCTCCGGCCCTTCCAATTATTTTTAAAGACGTTTAAGAGTCAGTTAAGGAAAAGTAGCTCACCCATCGCACTGCAGATGTCTTGTCTTTCTGACACAGCCACCAACTCTTCTCGGAGGCTGCAGCTCAGAGTGTAATTTGCGGTGTCTCTTTGATTGCTGAACTTTCCCAACTTTTTGAGTAGTTTTTTGCAGTTATTCACATTCTTTTTGTGGGTCTGAAAATTTTGCACCCGTGAAACCCCAGAAAAATAATATTGAAAAAAATTAATTTATAAAGGTATATTCTTGCATTATTGTACATGACCATCACGAAAGACAGTGTCTTGTCTCTGTAGTGCCTGCCATATGGCCTGTCCACAGCAGACACTCAAATTACTTGTTTTAAGATAAAACTATGTTAATATGTTTTAGAAAAAATTTTCTATATCAAAAATTGGGGAATATCTTTAAAAGCTTGAGATAGCTTTGTTTCCATCTTATATATGCCTTGTAATAAAAACTACTTATTTGTTATTTAGTTATGGTAAGACAAAGCCTTACAATGCCAAGGAGAGCCTATCATAAATCATAAGTGTTACATAATTCGAAACTCAATATAAAATAGAAAATCCCTTTCTAATCACATATGTCCCCAGAAATTAATTCAAATATATTTTTAATTTTTTTTAATTCAAATATTTTTAAAAGCACTGTTGTCTACCCCACTGGCCCTGGTTACCTCAGGAATACCAGGCAGTGGTCACGACTCTGCCAGGTTCCTTCCGAGTTCATGATCGAGACGTGCGTTTTGCTTAAATGATTCACAGCGCTTGGAATTACAGTGACTAATGTCTTTTGGGACTCACCTTATCTAAAACGTTAATGGTTTGTTCCATTATTGCAATCTGAAGAGCAATCAAAGACTCGTAGTTTGGTTCATTGAGGTACTTGAAGAGAAAAAAAATATGGAAGAATATTTCTCTACTTCAATAGGTAACTCTTTAAAGATTGTTTTAGTTTTTAAAAAATTACTGGCTTTCATAGTATATGTCTATGTTAGTTAAAACTGGCTTGATTTTCGTGCATGTTTATTTGGACCAGCCATCAATACATTCATTTGTATTATGTTGCAAATGTCTAGGCTGTTTTCTCATTTATTCATTTATTTACTCAACTCTTTATTACTTATTAAGTGCCCCGCTTGAGACCTACAGTTGCAGCATTCTAGTTAAAAACAATGAGGAATACACGCAGATGGGTAACATGACCTAGCCTGCAAGGAGAGCACACGGATACTATGAGCGGCCGGAAGAAGTGTGGAGTGCTGGCAAATTCAAAGGTGGCTTGTTATAGGGTAGGATTTTTCCCAGCTTGGGAAATCGAGAAAGAATTTCTGCAGGAGAACAGGTGGGCCTGAAAGAGCAGGTGAATCTGGGAGAGCAGGTAGACCTGAGATGAAGAAGAAAAGGGAGGGAAGGAAGGAAGGAAGGAAGGAAGGAAGGAAGGAAGGAAGGAAGCAGGGAGGGTGAAGTTGTTGAAAGGGGCGGGGGAGGGGGAGACAGAAGAAAGTGGAAGGAAAACGGAGGAAGAGGGGAATGCTGAACAAGAGGGAAAGTGGCAAATTAATTTGAGTCTGAAAAGTTGAAAGATGAGGTCCACCTAAGGACTTCATAATTCATTTGATAGTTAAGTGTGAGTCAAAAATATTTGAGCAGGGTAGTAATGTTATTAAAGTGAAATAGAAATTTAAAAATCTGATAGCAGTGTACAGGTCAAAAAGTAGACTAAAATTTGAAATTTAGAAAAATTTAAAAAGGATAGAGGGAATATTTAGAAATGAACTTTATTTTAAAGATAATAAAAAACCATTAAAGTGATACAGAATTTCAAGACATGATAGGAAATCAACAATGGTGGTTATATGCATATTGTTATCTTTAAAGTAGCTGTTTAGATTACCAGATATGAGCATGTAAAATTGGTCGAAAAAATTAAGCATTAACTATTTCTTATAATAAACCAATAGAAATTAGTAGTACAATTGGTATGTATATATAGTATATATACTATATATAGTATATATAATATATAATTAATATGCTATATGTAGTATATATAATAAAATATACTATAGTATATATTATATATATGGTTTTTTAATCCATGCAGCATGAGATCATAAGAGAAAGTTGTCTCATTTGCCATTTTATATATATAATTTTTCCCTTGCTGTGAAAGAGAAAGAAGCTGCTAGGGAGAGGAGAAAAGAAAGTAGAAGTTAATTCTAAACTGGGCATGCTGGGGCCTGCCATCCTCAGCTGGGGTGAGAGGGAAGTGAGTGACAGGGCTCAGGCGGGAATGGAATTGGACCAGAAGGCAGAGTTGGGATTGGCGTTTTAGAACTGGTCACTGATGTCCGAAGGACAGAGATGATCGCCAAAGAGGAGGGCATGGAAAGAAACAGCAAAGGCAGCATTGTACAGAAAGGCTGTATTTAAGACTCAGAAGCAAGAAAGGTGAAGAGGTAAAATGGTCTGATGTGTTGGAAGAAAAACAAAAAAAGGATGATAAAAGCCAAAGGAATAAGCTGGACATGGTGGTGCACGCCTGTCACCCCAGCACTTGGGAGGCTGAGGTAGGACGATTACTGCAAGCTCAAGACCAGCCTGAGCTGCATAATGAAACCCCATAAAAAATAAAGAGAAAAAAAGCCAAAGGAATGAGTAGAGAAATGAGTCAAGCAACTAAGAACAAATCCCTCCATGAGCTCTGAGATTGGACTGCGCTACCAGATGGGTCCTAGAGATGTGCAGGTAGCGCGCATAACCACCCAGAAGGAAAGGGATCAGAGAGCTGTGAAGAGGTGCTTCAGGATGTGCCTGCTGCCGCGGAAGCTGCGTACTAAGTCCTGGCTAAGTGAAGGAGTGAAAGTCAAGCTGAGTGGGGGCGCGGGAACCTGCCTTTTGCCGGTCCCGTGAGAAAAACAGCATCTGGATGTCCCAGGCCTTCTGGTTGAGGTCTTCCATCTCCATCTCCATCTTCTTGTGCTCCCACTCGATCTGGTAGATGCCTTTGTGCACATCTTTGCTCTCCATCATGCTCGTGACTTTCTTTTGTCCTTGAGTCTTAAAAAAGTGCAATGGGTCCTCGTATTACAGTTCTGCACACAGACCGGGGAGATACGTTGCCCCGTCAGGGAACAAAATGCTTTATGCTGCCTTTGGAGACTTTTTCGCTGATACAACTGGAAGGTATCTGGTGTGTGGAGGCCAGGGGCGAAACAAAGGATCCCCCGAAAAAGAAAAGAAACAATACTCTTCTGGCCCAGATGCTGAGTGACAGGCTCAGATACTCGGTCTTAGAGGCTCATCTTCTTATCTTCTTTCTGCCTGCCTTCACTCAGCTCGTGGCCGGTGTTCAGTCACTGCCCTTATTCCCTCTTTCAGAGTATCCCGCCACCACTGGCTGAGCTCCTCCCCCGCTCTCCAGGGGGACCGCCCCGGTCAAGTGCACAGGTCTGTCCTCCCGGGATGGCCTCTTTCCTGCTCCCCTCCGGCTTCCTCCTACACTGTCTCCTCACCTGTCGTCTGCCAGGCCTTTCAGGGCTGGATTTTGCACGCAGGCTCAGGTTCTCTTTTCTTAGCTCTACCTCTCGATGGTCTCGAGCAGCCTCACAGCTGAAGTGATCTGTGTCTGCGTCTGCGTGTATGGATTCACGTGATCCATACAGACAGCTGCTCGGCCCTGAGCTGTCCCCTGCGATTCCTTTGGCCCCTCGTATACAGGGAGTGCCATCGTTCGGCAGGTGTTTGACAGCGCCCCGGCCTCCACGTACCACATGCCTTCCACTTGTGTCATGCACAGATGTCTCAAGCATAGCATAAAGTATACTGTCCCTGAAGGGGCGACGTATTTCCCAGTTACTAAAAAAAAATTCACTACATGTCCTGAGTCAAAGCTACAGTTCCCTAGTTTTTCCCCAAATCATTTAATAATGCTATCTACTCAGTTGTTCAATTCAAAATTTCAGGAGTTATCTTTTCACCTCCTCCTTTGTCCTTCACATTCAACCCACTGAGTAAAGATTGCTTCCCTGTAACATGAAGAATCCAGATAAACTCCAAAATCACAAGAGTGCTGAGGTCACAGGAAACGAGGTCTCCTGAGCTCTCAGAAGTAAGGACCAACCAAGGAGCAGCACCCAGCACGGGCTGCTCAGTAGGAGAAGGGGAGAGGAGCCACGCCTGGCATCAGGAAAGGGCTTGTAGAGAATTCAGACAAAATATTTGTAAAATACATTGGTTAGGCCGAGTGTGAGCTAGCCGAGAGTGCAGATTCTGAGGGGGCCAGAGACAAGTGTCCTCTCCCTCGCAGGTCACTCCCTACTCAGCACGTCCTATCCACCAGCAAGACAGCAGCAGCGCAGGGAGCTGCAGAGGCCACTTGGAGATAAAGGCCCAAGAGGTGCAGGAACAGCATTCTGGGAAAGGCACGAGCCCAGCTCGATCCTTTTGCCACATAGAGACGAGGTCGGCCCTGATAGAAGAGCAGCAGGTCCTGCCATTTCCAGAGCCAGAATATGAATGATTCTGTCTACAGAAAGAGGTTAAACTGAATTAAAACCTTTTACCCCCAAAGAAGCATGGGAGAGGAATCCCCAAAACTGTCAAACAAGAATTCTAGATTTATAAAAATTATCCTTCAAGGATGAAAGACACGTCAGATGGTACGCACCTGCGCTGCACCTCCAACTCCAGCTACCAGAGAGGTAGCAGTGGGAGGATCATGAGTTTGGGGACAGCAGGGACCTCAATGTAAAGCTTCCTCTCAAAAACATTAAAAAATGAAGGACAAACTAAGACTTTCCAAGTTGAGGGAGTCCACTGCTAGTAGACCTGCTGTACAAGAAATGCTAAAATAGTTCTTCCAAGGTGAGAAGAAAAGACAGCAGGCAATAGCTCAAAGCTCCAATAAGAAATAAAAGACCACATGAACGGTGTAACCAAGTAAGTTTGCGCCTGACTCCTACTCCACCTGCGGGGAGGCTGAGCTGGGGCAGGAGGACGGCAAGTCTGAAGACAGCCCGGCTATTTAGACTGTCTCAAAAAAATTTTTTTTAAAGAGGAGAAGGGAAGATGAGGGTGTAGCTCAGGGGCAGACCACCTGCATCGCATGGGTCGGACCCCCAGCACCACACACACACACATACACACACTATAGGAACTATGTAAGCGAATATAAAAAAACAAAATTATTGTACTTAGTTTACAACTATTTTTTTAGAAGGTTTAAGAGAAAAGCGCATACAACAACAATTGGAAGTGTGCTAATAAGAACACAGTGTGAAAACATGAAACCGCGACAGCAGAGCTGGAGAAGCCCGTGAGCAGGCTTGCCTCCACGGTACCTAACTGGCATGAGCTCAGATTTGTTCAAAATCATAGAGCTGCATATCACTGTGACCCCCAGAGAAATCAGTAAGAAATTAACTAAAAATCAGAGAGCAAGGGGGATCTAAATGGTGCACTGTAAACACGAGCTGTACATGAACAAAAAGAAACGAGTTGGAGGAGCCAAAAAACACGAGATAAAGAAAACATCAGTGTCCGAGGTAAGGTTCTCATCAGTAATCGCTTTACCTGTAATAGGCTAAGCTGTGATCACAACAGAACGGAACTAGGAGCCAGTAACAACAGGAAGAACTGGAAGGTTCCCAATCATGTGGAAGTTAAACACATTATTAAACAATAAGCCAAAGAACACATCAAAAGGCAGATTATAAAATTTTGAAATGAGCAAAAATAAAAACACAAGACACCCAAGATGAGATGCACCAGGGAAGAGCTCAGGGAAAATTTTTCTCAGTAAATACATTAAAAATACAGACCTCACATCAGTCATCTAACTTTGCACCTGCGGCACTAGAAAAGGGACACACTACAATCACAGACAGAAGGGTAGATTAAGATCAGAACAAGATTAATGAAATAGAAGGCAGAAAAACAGCAGGGCGAATCAGCGAAAAGAAACTAGTGGTCCTTTGTAAATACCAGTCGCAAGCTGGGGAGATACGAGCAGCTACTGATTTAAATGAATTTAAGTTCCTTGCCACGGACAGAAGAGAAGCACACACTTGACCAGCAGCATGTTGTGTTGACTTTCCTCTGAAGTATAATTACCCGAATTACAGAATTCAGGTCCTCAATGATGGTCCTACTAATGAGAATTGCGTCAGGGTACTGCAGAAGTTGCTGGAAATTTTCCAGTTCCACTTGTCCTTGTTTGAGAAGCATTTGTATCGTCAAATTCAACTGGTATTTTACTTTTTCTTCCTGTAATCTAAATTGAAAAAGATTTGAAAGCAAGTAACTGTAGTGCATTTATACTTTAAAGTTTTACCTAGCATCTGAGAATGTGAAATTCAAGTTAGCTTAAGGAAGACGCATGCGACATTAGCGAAGAGAGTCGCGGGTGAGTGTTCCGAGGCGCCCCCAGCATGCCAGTAGTTCTTCCTATTGACCTAGGATTACAGTTGGATTCTTCAAAGAACAGCATGGACAGAAATCATTCATAACATTTCACTTAGACCAAGAAAATATTGTTTCGTTTTGATTGTAATAAAAATGAGGAAAACAGAGATGCTGCCAAGATACCCAGTCCTAGCCCAGGTCCAGTGAGTGTGTGGGAGAGCTTCCTCTTCCCTCTATCACACCTTGCCCCCTACAGCCACAGCTCAGGCCTGGCATACATGCCTGAGGTGTAACCCTGCAGCTGCAATCCCTGCAGAGAGTATAGAGGATAGATCCACCCACCTAGTCCAGGAGAAGAACATCTTGCCACAGGGGCACAACAGGTTCACCCTCAAGGACAGCAGTGGGAAGGAGCTGAGCACAGCAGCCAGACCCAAGCCAGACGCAGCTGGATAAGTTCAAACTTTGTAGAGCGGCACCTGAACTTCAGTACATGCGAAGGTTATATCTACAGCGAACATCTACAACAAAGGTCAGAAGACAGTGCTACACAAAATGATGAGAAGGAAAAATATTATAATTACAACAAATGGGAAGGTCTAAGTACACCAACTGATAGAGCCCGTCAGGACAGAAATGAAGATCCAGTTATACCTGGTCTGAAAGATAATTTCCTGCTCTCTCTTTCTCTTTTGAAAGAAAGGACTAAGTCCCAGAGCGGCCGCGCTCAAGTAATCCTCATTCCTTGCCTCTGTGGACTGGGCTTGCAGGGTTGGATCTCCTTGCTCAGCAAGAGACACATTTTCAAAGCCAAGAAACAAAGTAGAAGTCGCAGAGATGCTGCCAAATATAAACACTATTAAAGTTCTGACCTAGTCTATTGATTTCTGATACCATATTAATATCTCATTTGTACGCTTACGCTGGTTGTCATACTATTTCTGGATAATTCATAGTCCTGCCTGTAGTCTAGGTTGGAAAACGAGAGACAGTAATGAAACACTGAAGCTTTTAGCCACGTGGCTACAAACCGGGCCTTCTGGAAGCAAGGGTTTGAGACGGGCCCAAATCTCAGCACGAGGGCACGCGGGCCTTCAGGGCAGCTGCGTGGACGCCTGGCTGCTGTCCCCACAGCGTGTGCCTCTTGGGCCTCTAAGCACCTTCTGCGGGACAGCTCCTTTGGCTTCAGCAGTCTTAAGCAACGCTAAGCTTTTTCTAAAACTTACTTCTTTGTAATAAGAGCAACGACACACGGGCAAGCTGCAAGCTGCATCTGACACAAGTGCTACGCAACAAAGTGTTCTTTCAGAACAGCCGTTTCCAACCCAGGGCCTGACGAGCCAGCTGCGCGCCCGGGAGGAGCAGCCTGCCTCGGCGCCCCCGGCGAGGAAACCCGAGGGAAGGCTCCACGTACAGGATGAGTTCGCGGAACACCTTCTCGATCTCCTGCTGCACCTTCTCGTCGTCCTCAACTCTCTTCCGCAGGAAAGCCGTCATCTCCACTAGGCCAGTCGCCTTCTGCTTCACCTGAAAAGCCAGCCGGAAACATCTCAGGACACGAGGAGCTTCAGCTTCAAGAAACAGCCATCGTTCACTTTTTGTGCTACAACACTTTCCCCAGACCATCCTTCTAAGATTTATTAGAACTTTAAATCCCTGCTGTTAGGTCACAGCAAGCGTGTGAAACTTTCACGCACATCCGTTCCATGAAAAGTGTGGAGCGCACTCATGGCTTCTGCTGTCAACCATGCATGCGACCAATGCTTTTTATATCATTTTTGGAAATTACTCTGAAAATTTTTTTATTAATTGATTTATTTGGTGCAGGGTCTCGTTACGCAGCTCAGACTCGCAGTGATCCTCCTGTGTCAGCCTTCCCAGCACTCGGATTACAGGCGTGCACCACCATGCCCAGTTTTGGGGCTGGCAAGGCGTGCTTGGGTTCCTGGGCCGGCTTGGTGTGTGGTACTGGGGATCGAACAAAGGTCTTTGATCTTGCCAGGCAGGCGCTTAGACTGCCGACCTGTCTTCCCAGCCCTTATTTGGAAACTTTTTTCCCATCAACTTGAATAAAATTATAAATTCATAGATAGTGAACGAAAAAATGTGCTGCCCCCGAAGCCTACGGCACAGAGATTAGGGAATCTGAGCAAGGGAGGCGGCACATGGAGGGATGCTCCTCCAAATAAGCCCGTTTTCAAAGTGTTATCCAATGCCAGCCAGACAGCTCAGCAGATTAAAGCACGCGCAGGGGTCAGGGGATCGATCCCTGAGCCTGCCATGCCGGCCCCACCCCCGGGGCACGCTGAGACGGCAACTGAGACTGGGCACGGTGGCACATGCCTGTAACCCCAGCTCTTGGGGTGCTGTAAACAGGCGGGCCACTGTGAGTCGCATCTAGTAGTGAGGCCCTGAACACCCTGTAGACCCTTCCCTAAAAAAATACCAAAAAGTAAAACAACCAAAAAAAAATGTCAAAGTGTTACCCATTGCTACACTATTTTTCTATTTTAGTGAAACTACAAGATGGGTTCTGATGAGCTAAGTATGATTTTAATCCATGCAGCATGAGATCATGAGAGAAAGCTGCCTCATTTGCAAGAGGAATGGAGTGCAAGCCACAAATGCATTTCAGTATTATAGCAGCCAATTAGGAAAGTGGCACGAGATGGATACAGTTAATTTTACTAATCTAGTTTATCGAACGTAGTATACCTGGCACGTTTTATGCCAACCTGGGATCCACACAAGAAGCAGCAGCGAGGCACTTTCTGTTCCTTTTCTTGTGCCACGTCTTCTAAATCTGCATGCATTTTCTACTTACAACACATCTCAGGACTGACCACGCTGATTTCAAATGCACGAGGACCACCTGTCTCGATAGGGTCACTATTTGGATGCCGCGGGTGTGCAAGCACACAGCTACACTCGAACAGCACCAAAGTCAGTGTTTTTGTTAGTTTATTACTGACACTACCTTAGCATAAAAACCTAAACAGTTATGATGCATTCGCCGATGTAACTGTGTGTTTGATATTAGTACACAAAAATAAAAAATTAAACAATAACATTATATACTTTGTATTCGTTTTCCACTTTTGCTCGTCTAGTTATGCAGAAATGGTCCCAGACCGATGAGTCCACGCCTTCTGGCATGTTGTGAATACTGTCCAGCTCTTCCATGGCTTTCATTAACTGGGCGAAGGTGTCCTTATTCAACTTGCCAGCTCCTGGCTGCTCTCCAAAAGGGACAATACTGGATGCATCTGATTGTGCTTTCGGTTTCTGCATCCTGGAATTATCAAGAAATAAATCCCATTAACATTTCATGTTGTTAGAAACATCAGTGTTAAATAACAAGATGCTTACTATAGGCGCGGCATGAGGCTTGGCAATTCCTTTCGGCACCTGAAGGGCGGCAGGCAGATTACTCCTAGGGGAGAAAAGCCCACTTCGCCCTTCTTCCACACTCTCTGGTCCCCAGCCAGGATCATGGGCCAGACCACTGCTGCCAGCACTGGCTGCTTAACTAGGTCCGTCTGCACATCCTCTGCTGGTATCCTTTGTGCAGTAGGATATGCCTGGTGTATTTGGGGTTGGAGAATTGTTTCTTCTTATCTACATTAAAAGACTGGCTTTGTTTCCCCGAGCCGCAGCTGGGCCCTCAGTGCGGAGGTGCTTTCTCTGCACGGGGAGGTGGGCACTGCTGGCCTGGGCTCGCCGCAGGCTCCGGGTCTCATGCACGGTGGTGTTAGTGTTTGCAGCTAATTTTGTTTGACAACAAAGCTGTGTATTCCTCACTGCTGCCTCCCAGTACAAAGAAGTCCAACTTCTTTCTCACAAGCAAAAGCTATGCCTTTGAGTTCTTACACCCCACTCTTTTCAGAATAAGGAAGCCAAGACCTGAGGCAGAGGCTAAAACCCTTAGGCTGCTTGGAACTTGTCAAAAGTCAGAAAAAGTTTTATTCAGGATACAAATTAGCCCATTCCTTTGTGATGAACCATAACTTATAGATTGCATTTGATTAAAATTCTGAACTTAAGTTAGAAATCAGCTCAATATAATTGATACTACTTTCAGTAAAAAAATCTTTTTATTTATATTTCTAGAACTTGTGATGATTGTTATTTTCAGGCATTTCTGCTGGCGGTTTTCAAATTGTCTTGAGCACAATCACCTGAGAGGCTCTAAGGAAAATCAATTTATGTTCAAGCAAGTTTGGAAAACTCTGCTGACTCTGTCTCTTATACCTGGTGGGCAAAAGCCAAAATCAAGTTCCAAGAGGCTCCGCCTTGAGAAACTGCCTTAGCCACTGTTCTCATGCGGGGACCGAGTACCCAACATGCGAGTTAGGCAGGAAGGCTTCTTGAGGTCACAGTCTGTGGAGGCTTCCATCCACAAGCAGCTGGCTCTAAGGCAGGGTGACACATGGCAGAGAGCAGTTCATGGTGCTTGCAAGGCAGCGAAGGCAACGAGGGTCGGACGAGACTCTTCCTGTCCCTCATGGTACGTGCAGGCTACCTGCCCTAGGGCCAGCGCAGCGCTCACACTCTTAATCCCAGCCAGGACCATGCCGACCCAATCAGTGGACTGATTTACTAATCACACACCCTTAATCCCAGTACCACACTCTCCAGGTTCAGCACCTCTGAAAAAGCCCTGTAATCACCTGAGACTTGGGGGTAGACACAAACCATAACAGCAATGCTATTTAACTTAAAAAAAAAAACACAACAACCCAGTATTTCCCCCAAATTACTGTGTCTTAGAAACCCACTGCACATAAAGCTAACTCATGGCACGAGGGACTCATATTTGTTAGACACATTTTGGGAATAATTCCCTGCATGTGTGCACCATCTGTGACTTAAGAGGGACGGGCCCGCCACATACAAGCAGTTTCAGCACTAGGAAGGTGCCCAAGCATTTGTAAGTGATGACACAGCTACGCCTCATGCCCGAGCTTAAGACATAGACATACTTGTAAAAAAATACTGAATTACGATTAAGCCAAACTTCACCTAAAGATGTCCCATGTGTTCTACCTAACGGGGAGGAACATGCAGCCTTACTCTTCGTTTAAAGACTCTTCTGTTAGAAACGTAACAGCAAAGCAAAACAAACCTTGGTCGGCGCTTGAAAAGTTTATAGAGTATATCCACTTGTTGACTTGGAATTTCGGAAAATTCCTTTTTGAAGCTTCGATCCAGAACCTAAGGACAAACACATCGATGGCAGAATTGCAACTCTGCTCAGAAACAATACTCCTCATGACAAGGATTTGTACCATGTTTTTTTAAAAAAAAAAAAAAAATGAAAACTTGATTCATGACCACTCATGGTGTAAAGGCCTCTCAAGCTTTTCCTGTGTGTGCGACTTTCTGAGACAGGTTCTCACTGTGCAGTTCAGGCTGGCCTTGACCTCACTTTGTAGTCCAGGCTGGTCTTGAACTCACAACGATTACTTCTGTCTCAGCCTCCTGAGTGCTGGGATTACAGCGTGTGCTACCACACCACAAGGATGTACTGTGAATAGCAAGAACCTTGGTGTATTAAAAAGTACATAAAAGAGGTCTTGAAAATCATCCAGAAGTCTCCCCACAAGTTAGCTTATTCTTTTCCGTGTTAGTCCTTTCCATTAAATTCCACAGCTTTTTACCCCCTCCATTTCTGTCTTCATTATCTGTCCTATTCTTTTCCATCCCAAATCCGCTAGCTGTACTTATTAAATTGATTTCATGACAACAGATTTTTCAGAAACGTACAGTGCTACAGAATGACCATACAGTGGCTCTGAATAGTAGTGGGAAAAAACCAAAACTATGAGAAAATTAAGTTATATCCCACTCAACCTGCCCCAGCCCCGACAGCAACTACTCGATTGTGTCATCCAGTTTTGTGAGACAATGACTCACTTTGTCTTCTGCCAGCAGGTTGTCATAGCTCTCCTTGTACATGTCGAGGTCCTGTTTAGATTTCTGGATTGCTTCTGAAGTCTGGCTCTATAACAATAGCAGGAATAATTAACTGGAAAAGGAGACATTTAGGACAAACAAAAACTGGGTATTCTAAGAAGAAGAAGAAGAAGGATGTTCCTGGCACAAGATAAATGTGCCCATGGAGTATCTGTTACAGATCAGCACCTACAGAAGGAAGCACGTAGGACTCGGGAGGGGCAGGCTTCTGACCGCAGTCCATGAGGGCAGCCAGCTCTGCGTGTGCATCTGCCTCTCAGAGTACTCGGTGCTCGGCACTGTAGCCCGTTTCCAGTGGTCTGGGGAAAACAATATGCCCTAAAGAATGGCCTGCAAGTGGCTTCAGAGAGTATATGCCGTGTTCAGCCTCCCACCCACAGCCAGTCACTGGCTCAAAGCTGATGTTTCCCACCAGGCAGCTAGGATAGGGAAGCTATAGTTTTATGGGTGATTTGTTTTGTGGTACTAGTGTCTGAGCCAAGGGAGGGCTGAGCGACACTTCCAGTCCTTTTGTAAAATTTTCATTTTGAAACAGGGTTTTGCCGTTTCCTGGGCTGTCCTTGAACTTGTGATCCTGCTGTCTCCACCTAATAGGAGCTAGGATTACAGACATGCACCATCACGCCTGGCTGTGCAGTTCTGTGGACTAATGGTTGCCGATGCAGAACCACAGAACTTTGCTAGGAGGTGGGCATGGGTATTTCCTGGCCCTGGATCAAAGTCACAGAGACGGGGCCACGGGAGGCCCACAGCTGAGCAGGGACGACAGAAGGGAGGGAGCATCTGCCTGCAGGAGCTCTCACTAGATGCAAGCACAGATGTAGGAAGGCTCTAGGAACCAGACGTCAGGCGCTACACTTACTTTCTCTTCCTGCTTCCTCAAGAGATAGTTGTTCAGAAACAACTCTCTGGAGTTTAATTCTTCATCCAATAGTAAAGAAAAGACAAGGTTATTTATTTTCAATTCTTCCTGCAGAAATATGAAAGGAGGGGCGATCAACACTCTTACCTGGGAAAGGACTCTTTATCCATGATTATAGACTTGGCCTAATCAAATACATCTATGGTATACAAATAAGATGTTGTGGCACATGCCTAGATGTCCTCCCAGAGCCTCCTGCACCCATGGCGGGGGGGGGGGGGGGCTCTTGGGAGCCGGCTGGATCCCACTTGTGATGCGGGCAGTGAGTGCTGGAGCTACATTAGTCTTCTGAGGAGATCAGCGTAGCTCTGGGAATGGACAACGGAAGCCCCGCCCCGCGTGGGGGTGGGACCGCCCACAGGCTTACAGAGTGGATGGGATGAAGGAGAGGGGGCTGCTTGCGGCTGCTCGCAGCCTCCTGCCCGCTCTGCCGCGGGCTGCTTGTCCTCTGTGATGTGCCCCTGCCCAGCCACATGGACTTGGAGCCAAGAACTATGGACCAAAACCTCCACAGACTGTGAGTCATAAATGACCCTTTCCTCCTCTAACTTGTGAGTGTCCAGCATTTTGTCTCAACAATGACTAAAGTAACTGAGACATAAGAGAAACCTTTTTTTCGGAGGTGGGTCTAAGGGTTGAATCCAGCCCTTATACATGCTAGGCAAGCCCTCTATCATTGAGCTATACCCCTAGCCCCCAAAAATATTTTAATGAAAAGGTGAACAGGAACTGTTGCTGTAATTATTGGGTTATTTTATTTTTTCATCAATTCATTGTAAGTTAAAGCCTATATTCAGAAAAGTAAAGAACATGAATGTAGTTTCATGAATTATTATAAAGGCCAACAGCCTTGCTGTCATCACCTAGCTCAAGAAATGGAACTCCTCTAGACATGCTCCTTTCAGTTGCCCCCATCAAGCGTTCAACCCCAATATCCACTATAGTCTTAACTCTGACGGTAACAACTTCCTGTGTTTCTCGCTCCCCACATGTGTGTACCCACCAGGCACCACGCTATAACTTGTCCGTTACAGCCAGTGTGGAGATGCCTTCGGACACTCCTATACTCTTCATGTCGCCCCTCCTTTGCTTTCCCTCCCAGTCAATTTACAGAAGTCAGCGTTTCTGATGCTGTGCCTCCCGTGGGTTAGACCAGCTCACACTCAGGGTGTGGGTTGTCGGGTTCTCACCCTTTGCTTGGCCTACCCGTGGGCAGCTGGACCCAGAGGGGTGCTTAGACCTAGGTTTGATCCTTTGGAGGCCTGGAGGGGATGTGCTCTTTCATCCGGGCACAGGGAATGCCTGATTGCTTTTGACATTTGAAGCTGTGATGTGCACAACTCCGCTGAGAATTACAAAATGGGAAGAGTCTGTTTCTACTTTTCTTTTGAATTTATTAATCAAAATACTTTAATAAAAAGATGCTATTCTTATCTATTGTTTGGTTATCTGCTGACTCAAATCATATAAGAAAGGAAGAATAAATACTAGACTTTTTTAAAAATTGGTTTTAGACATTGAATAATTGTCACCCTCTGAAGGTGCCCAATGGGTATGATCCTTTTGAAACAAATTCAGTGGGTTTCAACTAATTGCAATAACTGCATTACCATCTCTGAATCCTAAGAGCCTCACTTGCAGGCAGGTGTGTGGCTCCTGAGTGCTTTAGGAGCATCCTCGCCGTCTGGCACCTTCCTCCTTGCCTTGTGCAAAATGCCCTAAGCTTATCTGTTTTTCCCACCTAACAGCTGTACTGAGCTGTGTTTCCCACGCCACACAGGCCACCTGCTGTGTGTAATTCACTGCACTTTTGCATGCAGAGTTGTGTAACCATCACCACAGTCAATTTTAAAAACCTTTGCCACCACAGAAAAAGCCCTTCAGCAGTCTCCCATTTTCCTGGCATTGCCTGGTGCCTCTTCAGGTGGGAAGCAGAAGGGTGCCAGCCAGCGGGAGGGCACCATATGAGCCCTGGCTGGACTTGCAGGGAGCTACACACGGGTGAGGGTGCTGGGCATTATCAGGAACCATGGCGGGGCCCTGGAGTCACCCTGAAAATACAGGTCGCACAGGGATCCTCCATTTACCTGGTTGACAACCATCTCTGCCTTTACTCTCCTTTCGAAGAGTCTTTTCAAGTGTTCATCAAAGTTCTGTGTGCTTTCTTGAATAAAGTTTTGCAGTTTCTTCAATTCTGCCTCTAAGGACTGAAAGGAAGGTTAACACTTAGGAACATTGAAAGGGAGTGTGAAGCTGGTGTTTGCATTTTGCCAAAAGGAAGGGACAGTGGGAAGGCAGACCCCCTTGGTGTCGTGGTTCAGAGGTGTCCCACTTGGATTTGCCTAAGGCACTGTGTGTCTGAGATTTTTGTCTTTAAAAATTAGATTGAGTGCCAGGCACAGTGGCCTGTGCCTGTAATCCCAGCACTCTGGAGGCTGAGGCAGGAGGATCACCTTGAGTATGAGGCCAGTTCGGATGACACAGTGAATTCAAGACCAGCCTGAACTACATAGTGAGACCTTGTCTCAAAAAAAAAAAAAAAAAAAAAATTAAGAAAAAGGAGTTAAAGGTCACTAACCATAGCTAATGACACAGCTAGTAGTATGCCCAGCAGAACAAATCGTAGGACATCTTCCCAGGAAAATTTGGCTGTATGCATAGCAATCTCAAGACATACATGTTAGCCCTTAAAAGATCTTGCATTTTTTCCAAGGTTTAGCTACTGTCATGGAATTTTCTATCGCATATTTCTATATTTAATTTTTTGTGGACCTGGGATTCAATGTAGGGCCTTCTCACTGACCTACATCCCTTGCCCTTTTTTTGGTGGTTTTTTGTTTTGTTTTGTTTTGTTTTTTTAAATGGCAGAAGGATTTTTTTTTTCTCCGAATGCCTTCAGGGCAGGTTTGGCTGGCTGGAGTTGTGGGGGTCCAACCGCGGCAACCTGAGCCTGACTGCTTTGTTGAAGAAGCCACTTAACGAGCTGAGCTACCGGGCAGGCCCCCTTGGTGTTCATTTTGAGACAAGGTCTCAGTCTTAAGTGGCCCAGGTAGTGCCTGAGCGTGGGATCCTCCTGCCTCAGCCACCCAGAGGGTAGGGAACACAAGTACTCACCACCATGTCCAGCTTGAGTCTTCTATGTTAGTAAAAATTAATCCAGAATTAGGGAAGAAGGAGGAAGTATAAAATGAAACGAGACTGGCGAAGAGTAAATAATTGTTAAAATTGGACAAGGCGCTTCTTTTCCTGTTCCCCACACTTTTCTTGGGGGCCGGGTCTCCCTGTCCTTTGGGCCAGCTTTGCGCTTGCTCCGCGTCCAGGGTGACCTCACGCTCACTGCCCTGTTGCTTCTCGAGCTCTGGGCCGCCAGGTGTGCACGTGGCGGGCTCCACTCTTTTGTTTGGCATTTTTCAGGATAAGAATTTTGGTTTAATTGCGACGATAGACACCGGAAAGAGTGACCGTGGATCTGCACTTTGCTGTGAAGGGAAGCAGAGCCGCAAGCAGCGGACCAAGGCGAAGGCGGGCTCAAAAGAAAAGGTTTTTTGTTTGTTGAAATAGGCTCAGACTAACTGAAAAACCACAAAAATTCTAGAAAGAACTCTCCTATCTCCTTCGAGGGAGGATTCTGGAATAAGCATGAGGTGAAGACAGACAGGGGCTCGGGCACGCGCGCCTTCTAGCTTCTCCTCTTCTGAGGACATAGAAAGCAGGGCCGGAGGGAGCCGAGCAGGAGCAGGAGCCGCGGGACCGAGCGCCAGGGTCCCGGCCCTGTGGCCCGCCCGCACCTCGGGCTCCTCGGATACGGGGCGCAGAACCTCCGGCTCCTTGCAGTTCCCCGATCCAGAACTGGGAGACTCTGGAATCCCAGTGTGCAAGGCTAGCAGCTCCCCAGGCGCCGCCTCAGGGCGGGGGAGGGGAGGCAGAGTCGCAAGGACCCCAGGGACCCAGGGGACAGCAAAGGCGAGGCCGAGGCCCAGCGCAGGAGCGCAGCGTTTCCTCCCACCACTGCCCCGAGTGCAGGCACAGAAAAGGCCGCGTGCGTGGACCGAAGTCCCGGCCTGGGTCCATCACGGGCGCTAGAGCAGCGAGGGTGTGGGAGGAGAGCTCTTTTTTTTTTTTTTTTTTTTTCTTTTTTTTTTAATATGGAACGCTTCACGAATTTGCGTGTCATCCTTGAGCAGGGGCCATGCTAATCTTCTCTGTATCGTTCCAATTTTAGTATATGTGCTGCGAAGCGAGAGAGCCATTCTTTACAACACAAAAGCGCGGTGTGAATGCCCTTGAGTGGCCCTCATCCTTTTTCTTCCTCGGCCATCTAGGCTTCCTAAGCCCTTAAAATCTTTCCTTCCCTTATTTCGGCGTCTAGGTGAGTGGCGCCCCAGGCAAGCAAAAGCTGCGCGAGTGACAGGCACCATGGAGCTGGCAGGCCATGCTGCCCAGATGCGGCCTGATTCTACTTCCTGCGTAGAAGAATGAACACATACGTCTACGTGGCTGTACGCTGCGGCCCTCACACAGGCTGCTTTACGCAAGAATGTTATTTGCGATGGAAGAAAAAGAACAGCAGGGCCGCACGGGGGTGGGGAGGGTGCAGACCCCTCAGCAGCCGTGAGCGTGTGCGGCCTGCTGGCGTCTTTACGTCCCCGATCCTCCTCTCTTAAGGAGCAGCACGGATCACGCAATGGTGCTGCTGAATTCAGAGCGATCCCAGCAGCGACCTGCACACACTACCACACACACAGGCGAGGAGGGCAGAAGCAAGCACGCAGTCTGAGAGGGGTCGCTCTCCAGGGAGTCGGTGCAGAAAGCGAGGGTGTCCAAATTGTGTCTGGAGGGGAATCTGATGAGGGCCTGGCCTCAGGTGGAGACCCCGAGCCACGCCTGCCCACCTCCCCACAGATGAACAGTAGCTTGGGGTTATATGTGGCTGGCACCACCTGGTCCAGTGAGTCCAGGTGGGCCGCGGACGCACAAGTGGGTGACATCTGAACCCCACTCCCGGCCCTTTCCGGAAATATTATTGCTCCTTCTACCTTAGAAGGTAGAGATGAGCCAAGGTAGATGACGCTTGCTGCGAACCCTCACTTCCCTGTTGGACCAATATTAGCGAAGTGAGCACCCTTGTAATCCTCTTGGCTGATTACAGTTTGACCCACTTGGCACTCGCGTTGGGATTTTGCTGCATAAACTACCCTTCGAGAACAAGCGCCTGCACCAACCCACGCCAGGGACCTCCTCGTGAGAGCTTTCTCTCAGTACACCTTTCTTATTCTTATTCTCTTTTTCCTCCAAGTTCTTGCTTTGATATTCAGGGGATGTGACCTCCACACACCTGACACCTAACAGGCCCGGAGCTATTTTTCCCCATCACAGGATAATGTAATAGGCATTCATGTGGGAAACGTCGAGGTCAATAACTTTTTATAAAACTCTTGCTATATGTTCTTTCATTTAAAATTATTCTAGCTTTTTCAATTTGTCTCCCTTCTCTACATTCTCTTGAGAGTTGATGCTTAAGCATTATCTTAAACTATGACAGACATCAAGAAAATTTACAAAAAACATCTAACAACGTATGGAAAGCAGACCCGGCTGTGCTACGCCGTGTTGCACTTCGGACCTTTCTGTACTTGTCTCGTTCCTCATGCAGCTCCTTGACTTTCTTCTCATATTCTCCGAACTGCTTCCTCTCCTCTTCCGTCCACAGAGCGTCGGGCTTCGCCATGAAGGCCGGTTGCGGGATCACCTGAGGGGGGAAGGAAGGAGTGATGGAGCGCACTCGCACTCCGAGCGCGACGCTCGCTAAGACCAGGAGCCCAGCACGCCTCTGCCCCTCACAGCGGCGGGGACGGTGCCAACACACGTTGGCTCAGGGCTGGGGTCAGGGCACAGCTGCTGAGCTCGGGGAGGGAGTCCGGGAGGCACCGGATGCGCAGGCACGGACTCCGGCGTTGCGGCTAGCACCGTTATAGGTAGACCTCCACCAGCCCTTTAGGGACAGCTGCGTGTCAGGGGCCCACGGCCACTGCTGGCGCTCTGAACTATGACAGACACAGCCATAGTCCTGCCTTCGGGAAAAACCGAAACCTTTGTGGCTGCTCGTGTTGGCTTGTTTGCTTTGGGTGATTATGGCAGGTACGGTTCTTTTAGTTTTTCATTTTAAATAGAAAAAAAAGATACACAGGGTACAGGCATGACATTTTGTTTAAACAATATTAGCACAGAGCATTCTTTCCAAGGAACTAACAGCAGCTAGCTGTCAAACTACTATAACTTTCTTGTGTGCGCATACATTTTTTGCTTTTCCCCTTTCTTATTTACCTGTAGGGCTATGTTTACAAGGTAGCAGAAGTTTCTTTAACCTTTGTTGCAGTAGAATTTCTAAAACTAACTTCCTAGAGGGCAAAGGTGGTCCACTCCCAGCCCCACCCCCCAGTCCACCCACACAGCCGGGCCGGAAGCTCACCATCCTCAAGATGTCCTCCTTCTTGACTTCCAGCACCCCGCCCATCATATCCATCAGGCCCCTGCGTCTGGAATCGGTGCCCTGGGGGAGAGCCGGGACAGAGAGGCAGCTGAGACAGAGACTCACAGCCCACGCTGCACCTGATGGTAGGGTGGCACCTACAGGGTGGGCAGCAGCATGGAGCCCAGGCTAGAAGGAGCTCCGCTGTGGTGGTCGTCTGACACGGTCAGCACCTCTGAAGGGACGAGGGTGGTTGGGTGCACACCAAGCAAAAGCACATACCCGCGCCTTAATCCATCGCCGTATTTCGCGCATCACAATCATTTCTGCTTTGGTTCGCTGCCATGCATTAAAATGTCTTGGGGCTGTAACCTGCAAGAGAAAATGTAGGCTCCTACTGTTGTTCTTACAAAGTTCAGACCAAACTTACCTTCCACATATCAAGAGGCAGTGAATGGCACTAAGGGCGGGGGCTTGGATAGTGCAACTTTCACAATCCATTTGTTGTAGAACGAACACGAGGTCTAAAATGAGGAGCTGGGGGTGAGAAGATGGCTCAGTAGGATAAGCGCTTGCCTGGCAAGCGCAAGGGCCTGAATTCAATCCCCAGTTCCGCAAAAATAGATAAATGAATTAATAAATGAAATGAGGGGCTGGAAAAAAAAACATCTTCTCTATTCTCAAATCTTTTCATCACTCAAGAGCTTATATCAGGAATTTGATTTAAGCTGAGATAGAAGGGGAGAGGGCCAAAGAGGTGTCCCCTGAACTAGATCCTGAGGGGTTGGGGACTCATGGGCAAGAGCCTGAGCATTCACCAAGAAATGTGAACAGACAGGAATGAGGGACAGCAGCTGGGGAAGAGAGCGTGGTGGCCCCGGGTGAGTGGCCTGGGAGTCGCCACTGCGAAGGGTTGGCAGAGCACAGCCATCTGGGGCTTGGCTTGCCACAACCTGAACGGGGGATGGAGTCGAGCCCACGGACAAGTGGGCGTGTGGAGTTTGCTACACACAGGCAAGGTGACCACGGCGAGCAGGCGCCGAGCCAGCCAGACTTGAGCTCCAGCCCTAGCAAGAAATCTGGTCCAGCGCTTACCAACCTCCCTGGACCTCACTGTTCTTACTGGTGAATGACGGAGGCGTCCTGCCTGCCCTACCAGGTTTTACCGCTACTGCTGTGTCCCCATCCACCTATGGCCCTCTGAACCGTGCCGGACTCTCACATGGGGCTGTAAAAATCTTTGCTACTTCTATTAGCTTTTTGGTCCCCAAATAATTAAGTTGGTTTAATGTGAACAAGAGTTACTCTTTGGGTAGTGTTTCTTTTTACTGTTTTTTTTTTTTTTTGTAGTAAGGATTGAACTCAGGATTCAGGCACTTTTGTCACTGAGCTACCTCCCCGGCTTCTTTTAACTTTTAATAAATGAAATATGGTCATATTTCGTTTCTTTACGCTATCATTTATTATTATTATTATTATTATTATTATTATTATTATTGCCGCTGCCTCTGTGCTAATGCTTTAAGAAGTAGGGGCTCCCAAGAAAGCTCCTTTCCTGGGGCCTGCCCTGCCCGAGGACCGAGGTCAGTGCTGGTGAGCCTAAGGCACCTGTGCCACAGGTGTTTGTTACTGAAAGTGTTAATGGTGCACCCTCACTGAGCCGGGTAATTACGGGAGCCCCACCAGCCTCGCTCCAAGTGTGGCGCACCCCAGTACAGGCTCCGGATGTACTGTCCAAGGGGCCTTTTCCCAGGCAGACTCAGAAGTGAGATAAGCACTCCTAACGCAAACCAGCCGCTCTTCGGAGAAGGGACAGGAAGTAGAAACTACTAGCAAAGCAAAAATCACAGAGAGGGGAGCTCAGAGGTGAGGACAGAAGGTGTCCCGCGCCTCTCAGGGCTCCAGACTCAGGACCCTGCTTCTTCCCAAGCTTGGGATCCAGATATTCCCTGACTTTGTGGGATTGGGGAAGAAAATCCTATTACCAGGGTTACGCTTCCTGTCTCTGTGACCTGTTCCTGTGAGGGCCATCCAGCAGTCATCTACACAATGTGAACAAAGGGGGGGACCCCCGAGAGAGGGCGGAGCCAAGCGGGCTGGCCCGTACCTCAGAGTTCTCCACCACGAGGGTCCTTTCTGGCTTCTCGCAGTCTTCAAATTCCGGTTCCCAGACACTTTCTCCCAAGTCCAGATCTGAAATAATTTCTTTAATTCTAATATTTCTTTTCTTCACTCGTGCAACTTCGAGCTCTTTTTGTTTATACGCAGCATCAAACTCATTATTGAAAGCAGTTTTTACTTTGTAAATGATATCCTGAAACATCAATAGGTTATCTGAAACAGGTCTCTCCTGGCAACGCGATCTACTGCACTTCCCTTTCCAGATCAGTCCAAGAGTTCCCTTCTAAGAAGAAAAACTAATCATCCTGGAATAATGTTTGTATTCAGTCATTTCTTGTCTTAATAATCTGCCGGGGCATCCGACCATAGGTGGGAGGGAGAGCACGGCGTACCTGTGCTACCTGAAACTACACTGTAATTCAACATGCAGGTGTGATGAGAACACCGAAGTGGGTGACGAGTCCCTGTGGGCTCATTGGGCAATGTGCTCTACCTCTATGTATGATCTAAAAAGCGTCCATTCTAGCTACTTAGAAAGCAATAAGCAGCGTTGAGGTCGGGAAGCAGCCTCTCTTTGGGACCTTGTTGGGGGATGTGGGGAGAGGAAGGGCGGGTGGGGAGGACCTTGCACCAGCACGCATAGCATCCTTCCTCCTGGGGCCCGCTTGTTCTCCACGAGGGTCCCCAAGGTGGCCAGCGGCATCAGCCAGCACCTACAGTGACAGCTGGTCTGCGTGGACCGCCTCACTCAGAGTTGCTTCCGCTTTACCATCAGAGCTCAGTCCATGCACACTGGGCTGGAAAAGCCATCTTAGCTCTTGGCACTAGAATCGCTTTGGGTCTGAAATTCCCTCCCTATAGCAAAACATCTTAATAAAGTAGCAAGAAATTGAGCCCCGGAGCAGAGGCCCGCAGAAGCTGAGCAGCAAAAGGTAACTAAATGGGTAAGCAAAACTTCAAGGGCTGAAGGAGGAGGAGAAGGGGTCAGGACAGGCCACCAGAGCTGAGGTACACAGCCGGAAGGCAGAACTCAAATTGCAGATGTGGCTGAAGGACTTGAAAGAACAGAACATAGCTAGGGTTAAACTTCCAACTGTGTACAATCTCATCACTGCATTCAGTAGAGTCGTCTACATGGGCAGATATGTCCGGTGCCTGGTTGTGTTTGGTGGGCAATAAGGAGTAGGAGCCTTACCTGGGGGGGCCCACACACGGTCCAGAGCCTGAAAAGTTACAGACTGTAACAGAGGAGATTTCTGTGGGCTAAGCAGACAGAGAAGCAACGACAGCCTGACCTTACAGGAGGCCCAGCGATCCTGGGTTGCAGGACAGACAGAAGTGAAAAGTTTCTCTGAGCTGACCAAAGATCTAAGCAGAAGAACGCTTTATGGGGTAAGCCAGCGTAGAATGTTCTTTAGAAAACCTGCTGTCACAGAACCCAGCTGCAGCGGGTTTCGACAGCTCTTGGGCTCAAGTTCTGACCCAGGGCTAGCTGCCTGTGTGGCTCTCTGTGTGCTCACAGACAGCATGGGGGGCAGGTTCCCCTGGCGCTACTGGAAGACCTCGGAGGGACAGTTTCAGAGATTGTGGGGGATAAAGAAGAAATTCACCCACTTTCAATAATATAATCTGGTTGATTTTCTCCTCTCTGGAATGAAGCTCCAGCTGGCTGGACAACAAAGAAGTATCGACCCCAAACTCGGTGCTCAGACTACCCAGCAAGTAGTTGGGCAAGCTGGTGTCCAGCACGGTCTGTTCTTCATCCTCCTCTTCGTCCTCCTCTTCGTGGTGGTTTTTTGCCAAGGTGACTGCAGACTGATCCTCTACGATCTCCTTCCGTAGCTAAAGATAGAAAAAGATGTCATGGAAGTTGTGCAATACTAATAGATTTCCAAAAGACAATTTTGTGCCGACTTAAATATTTCACCAATTATTTTAAGAGGTTGATACTGTCTTGCCAGCAGCACAAGTGACACACCGATCCTGAAAGTGTCACAAAAGAGATTAAATCTTCAGAGACTGACAAACTATGGGTGACTCAAAATAATAAAAAAGGGCCTCAATAGCACATAATATCCATATTGCTGTGACTGGATAGTACCTGCTTATAAATATTTTGAGTCTTTCTGATACTTAAGAATATATTTTCTCTTCATGTTTTACAAAGGAACTTGTTTGGTCAGCCTGGATGGTATGGCTGGAGATGTAAGGATGCTTTTAGTCTATGTTCTATAAAAGAGTGGATCCAAAGTTCTGGCCAAAAAGTAATACTTCAGGGGGGTGAGTGTTATTTTACCTGTTTGACAAAAACCTGGGATTACCTTAAGGAAACCATAATTTTATCAAGCTACCAAAGATTCTACTTCAGCTTTAGTTAATTATCTTAAAACACAACCACTAGTACTAAAGGAAGATGAAAAGGGCACATGGGTAAAAAATCTCTGGGCAGAGTATTAACAGACCCCCAAGCCTCATTTGTAAAAGCAGATCCTCGTATTTGAGAGCTAGCCAGTATGCAGGCATAGAGCCCTTGGCTTAGTCTACAGAGGCTCCTGTATTCATTACAGTGTGTTCTACGAATTGGCAAGAAATAAAGACAGATATATATGATTGGTAAATGTACATTAAATTACATCATGCTTCAAATCTGAATAAAAGACCTTAAAATACATCCCCTCATTTAAATAAATGTACACACACCCACACACGTGTGCGTGCATGCGCGCTGGTACTGGAGATGGAGCCCATGGCCTTTACACTGAACCACATCCCCAGCCCATGTGTTTGTTTGAAATGGGATCGTCCCGTGCTGCTGCGTCGCGCAGGCTGCGCCCTGCCTGCAGTTCTCCTTGTCACCTCCCAGAACGCCAGGATTACGGCCCTGGGCCCTGGGCCCGGCTACCCCTGCATGCGCATGCGTGCACGCACACACACGCGCACGCACATGCACACGCGCACGCACAGTGCATTGTACCTTAAGACACTCGGCTTCGATCTTCTTTAGCTGCAGCACCGCCTTCAGCTCCTTCAGCTCCTCAGCGGTGCGCGCCCTCATGGGGAAGTTCTCGACCACGCAGGGGATGTGAAAGCACTGCGGGGGACACAAGAAGGAACAGACCCGACTTCAGGCGGCTGCGGGCGAGCAGGGCTAGTGTGTGTGGGTGGGTACGGGGGGTTCTTGTTAAAATCAACTCCTATGTTATTATGCCGTGAATGACACTGGCAACAAAAAGCCTTAAAGTGATGTGTGCCATTATTGGTATAAGGTACTGAGGCTTTGGGGAGCAAGTCCATCCTCTCGCCCTGTGCCCTCGCCCCGCAGCACCGTCCAGAGACGATTTTCGATGGTTTCTACCGCGGATATGGGATGCTGACAGCCAGAGGCCGGGAGGTTGGTGCACACCCCGCGATGCCTTTCTCGGGAGGTCCTGTGCTAGAGCAGCACTCAACCATGTAGCTGCAGGGTGACCACAGACTGCTATCCCAGGAGGCGGCGTATTTGAGGGTAAGAGGCGCTGTGAACAGATGCAGGCATAAACTGAAACTTCTAGAGGGACTACGCTAAACAAGGTGGTGGTGTTAGCAGGGGTGTGTGTGTGTGTGCGCGCGTGCGTGCGCTGGGGATAAAGACAGCTCCTCCTGGGAAAATGTGAAGGCTGACACAGGGAGGCAGCGTTATGTCTGCCTTCTGTTCATTTGCACCAAATGAAGTGGCCTTCTGGAGTAACGAGCAAAGACACGGATGCTGGGAATGTCTCGGTGGAAGGAAGAAAAATGCTCGTGAGGCCAGCCTGACGAGACGCTGGCTTGGGCAGACATGGGTCCTTACAGAGGAAAGGTGAATCCACAAAAGTGACCCGTAGGTGGAGTGCGTTCAGGGGGAGACAAGGCATGCTTTGAGTACCTTGCTGTACATGGAGTTTCTTTAAAATTATTTTCTTTTTCTTTACGTTATGCCATGACTCTGTTGATGAAAATCTCACCAGCTAAGATGCTGCACTTGAGCCTGTTACCTTCAGGGCCCGGCCTTTCACAGCCATGGAACTCCAGCATTCTTCTTTGATGAGGTGAGCCAAGTATCTCTTGGCTAGGTTGTGCATCTCCACATCCTTCTTTATCTTCAAGGTCAGACACGAAGGGCAAAGATAAAAACATAAATGTGGCTTTTTAGGAAAAGAGGCCACGGGGGGGGGGGGCGCTTGGTGGCTGGGATGGCCTCGGGGACGTGGCCAATCAGAACATCCAGGAGGAGAAGCCTCCACACCCCTCCTGCCCACTTTACCAGGGCGGCGTGACATCCGTATTGGTGCGTGAGGCTGCCAGACACCTACATGCCAGCTTCTTCCTGTTAAAGCTCGCCCAAAGAGCCCCTTTAGGATTTTTCTCTGGGCTACTTTGCTGCCCTCACTCCCCCTATTACTCATGGCCGCAGTATAAAAGGATGCCCACCACTGCTTTACAGGGTCAGATGGCTTAGCTTTTCCATTTAGAAACACACGTGTTACTTCCATTAGCATGTCTGCTTCGACCGCTTAATGTGCGAATCATCAGCCATTCTCAGCGCTGTCTGCCCTAAGCCCTGGCCTTCACGTAAAACCCAACAACGCGCGCCCTGAGGGTCCTCTCCAGAAAGCCGTTCTGCATTTCACTGTTAGCGGGCTATTAGGAAACTAGCTAGGAGCAGCATCTCTCAGGTTTTGACCACCAAACAGTTCACCCCAAGTGCCACTCAGGCAGTGTGTCTGTTTAGGTACGGACTATCCCGAGTGTCATTCAGGCAGGTGTCATTCAACGAGTTGATTCTTGTACTGAATAAATTTGATAAAATTAGTTTTTAGATTTCTTTTTATATTCTTATGAAAGTAATAAAATATATGCAATATTTGGTCATCAGGTATTTAAATGGTTAGATGGTACATGAATAAAATGCTCACATCTTTAAAAAATCTCTATGAATTTTGTCTGATCAGATGACTTTGTTTCACTTGCATTTTACTTCCCCTGCTTCTGACCCACCAGGCTAAAGGCAGATAGACCTGCCTCTGCCCACCGTGGAGGCTCCTGGGTGGCTCCTCCCGGCCCAGCACCAGCACCGGGTTCAGATGCTCATGGCGGCCCCTGTATTCCCGAGCTCCTGCCCAGTGCTGGCTCACAGCCAGGGCTCTGTAGGGTCAGACCCCGGCTGGCAGGTCCACTACTCCCCAGGGCCAGCACTCTGCCCACTGATGTGGGCTTCATGCCTCCACCTGCCAGCACTGTTCTCCTGTGGTTCCTTATCAAGTCCCCCTTCAAAAGCCAGAGCTCAGGAGAAGTAAACAGTGTGAGGGAAACCAGCGCAGGTGGCCTGGCTCTTTGCTGAGCGCATACGTCTGTCCTAACACTGTACGTCTGTCCTTACGACTGTGTGGGGCTTCAGTGAAGCGGTTACGTACTTTTGCCACCTCTTCTCCACTTTGGCTGTGAAGCCGATCCAGTTCCTCGAGGTCCAGGCAAAATTCCTGTTGGTCTAACTTGGCCATGTCACCTGCTTTTTCATTCTCTTCGATCATATTCATAACCTGAATTTTGAAATAAGAAAGGATGATAGGAAGGACAGAGCTATGCCCCAAGCAAGCGGCTTGCTTAGACTCTGTAGGCAGCAATCAATGAAAGGTAGATGCTCTGCTTATCTAAATGGCAGCTTACAGATTTATTGTTTTTGTTTTTTATAGGGTTATTGAACTTTCAAGATTTGATCTTTAAAAATTTAAGCACTGTACCATTTGTACTGGCACTTGTTACTCTGTTTTTGTCTTTATTTCCGCTATCTGCTTTTTCTCTTTAAAATAAAATTAAATTAAAAAAAGAAGTTTGGGGGAGTGATGGACAGATAATTAATCTTATGGTGGTAATAGTCTGATGGATGGACAGGAATCAGAACTCATTAGACTAGGAGGGCTGGGAGTTAGCTCAGTAGAATAGGCGCTTGCTTGGCAAGTGCAACATCCTGAGTTCAATCCCTGGTACCACAAAAATCAAAACAAAACAAAATCCTTCCCTTTCTTCATTTAGGGGCCGAGGAGATGGCTCAGTAGAATAAGCGCTTCCCTGGCAAGCGCAAGGGCCTGAGTTCAATCCCTGGTTCCGCAAAAAAAAAAAAAAAAAAAAAAGACTCATTAAACTATACACTTTAAATGTGTAATGAACGTCAATTATAACAATAAAGCTGTATTTAAAAAGATCAAGAATACCGCCTCCCCCAGCCACGGAGCGCCCTGAGCCAGCAAACAAGTCCAGGAATGGTGGCAGATCCTGTAATCCCAGTGCTGGGAGGCTGAAAACAGGAGGATCACTTGAGGATGAGCTGCACAGTGAGACCCTATACCAAACACATAAATGGAAAACAAGTGAAAAGAAATTTTAAGCACATACATGTAATTAAAAATCAACAGAGAAATATTAGCTCACTTCAAGCTGATTTTAAAATTCAAATGGAAATGTAAGTGTGGACTGAAAAGTTAAAAAAATTTGAAAAAGGAGAGCAAAGGGAGAACTATCGTCAAGAGACCAAAAACATAAAACAGTAGTGATGTAAAAGCCTGGTACTCGCCCTGGGGGACACTGCTCAAAGCCGGGTACCTGGGAGGCCAGGGACCGAGAGGGGAGGCGCGCCCCTCAGCGAGAAGGAGCGCCAGCTACTCAGAATGCCGTGGAACCATCAGAATAGAGCAAAGCCTTACACCATTCGCAAAAATGAACTGCTGGGGTTAGTAAAGGAGTAGCAGAAGAAAGTGGGTGAAACTTTGGTAAGGCTTTTTTATTTTGTTTTTGAGACAGAGCCCTGGCTGTCTTTCCCAGACTGATCTCACACTCCTGCGCAACGAATCCTCCTGCCTCCGGCACCTGGAACTATCCATATGCATCCGCTCAATGTTTTGAAAGGCTTTTTTTTTTTTTTTTAAATGTATTTAGTACAGGGTCTACAGAGTCTCCACTACACCGGTTGGACTCCTCGCGACCCTCCTGGTTTCAGCCTCCCAGGCGCCGGGATTACAAGAGTGCGCCGCCACGCCCAGTCTGGAGAGCGTCTCAGCGCGCCCTGGAGGGCCGGCACAGCACTCTGGGGATCGAACCCTGGCCGCGGGGCTCTAAACTTTTAAATACACAAAGACCTCACAATCTAGAAGAAAACATAAGCAACCTAATGGCAGACTGGCGAAGGGTACTCCCAGGGCATCCCCAGGAGAGGAAATACAGTTTTATAGAGTCACCGATGGTGCTGAACCTGCTTAGTAACCAGGCAAAAAAAAACAAAGGGGAGGAAATCGCCAAGGCAAATAAATTTAAGAACTTTTTTTTTAAACTGAAAGACAAAGTTTTCCTATTTTGAGGGCTATCTGATGTCTAACACATGAAAGAGGAAAAAGAAATCTAGGGTTATGGTAAGAAACAAATGACACGTTCAAATGGAAAAACTGAACAGAGGGACTTTTCAGAAAGACTTGGCAGGGTAGGGAAAGCCAGCAGGGCTCGCTCAGGAGTCTTGGGCCAGCAGCTGTGGGCAGCTGTCACACTCCTAGGTCCGGAGGGGGAGGGGAGAGAAATGTCGGGAACCTGGGGGCACAGGCCGGGGCAGGGCTGAAGTCACTGCCAGATCAGGAGTCCACATCGGGGAAGCTGGGGGAGAAGGATCCTGATGTCCTCTCCTGTCCCCAGGTCTCCGGCACTGCCGCTGCTTGCTGCTTCCCAAGCGGAAGCCAGAGAGTCTATCCTTGCTGTCCATAAAGACCCGGTTCCTGGGCTTGGAGCCCAGGGTGGGAGGGGGGGA